ATGGCTAGAAATTTTTATAGCAAAATGTCAGTCATCAATGCCATCTTACCAATCCCAACTTGAACAACAGGCTGTTCACATACTCTAATCTTTCTTCGGAGGAAGATATCTCCGGAAGCTGCAGGTCCGCGGCAAGAGACAACGTCTCTCTCACCGTCAGCTGCGAGAAAAACAGGTCCTCCTGTCTCACATAAGCAAACCTTAACCCCCCCAACACAAAATTAAACAAATGAGAACCATATAATCAGCACAAATTCCAATAAAAACCATAAAACAAGACATGAAACTTAAACAAAAGCTTACTTATGGGCTTTGTTTGGACGAGGATTGCTATTGACCTCCAACAATCCCGATAAACGTAGCCGCGGTGACGCAGCAAGCTGACCCGCGAGTACATTCAGCAGCGTCGTCTTTCCTGACCCTGACGGCCCCATAATCGCCAGTAGTCTCCCTGGTTTCGCTTCTCCGCTCACGTTTTTAAGCAGAAATCGGACCTAAGCATTGAAAATTAAGGAACTTTAATCTTGTATCCTGCACATTTTCTCGGTAACCAAACAGGTCGAAACGGGAAATTTCACATGAAAATTAATGAGAGATGGAAACTTACAGCTGTGGAGGATTTGTCAGAGAGGGAACAGTTGATGTTGCGCCACCGGATTGTGACCGGAACCACTTTTCCGACATCCGGAGTTTCCGCTTCGTCGTCTATCACATCAGTGTAGTCGTCGTCGGCGTCAGCCTCCGGTGAGAGTGCTGGGCCTGGGCCGGAGATGAGGCGGAGCAAGAGAGCTGCGGCGACGGCGGCAAGGGCCTGGCCCAGGCCGCTGCCGCCGATGCCTAAAATCATCTGGCCCATATTTTTCCCGCCTGATTGAACCATTTCGGCGAACCACTCTCGGCTTTCTTCTTTCTTTTGCTACAGCTGGAGACTGAGCTTCACGCCTGACCCGTGGGTTCTGAGTTCGTTGCTTACAATGAAGAGATAAAATTCGGAGTACGAACCCGAACGACGTCGTTTGCCAGAATGTTCAACAGAATGAGTCTCCCATGAGCGACGCGTGTCCCCTTTGAGGATAAGAGGGGTTTGGGCCGGACATTTGGGTTGCTCTACGAACGTATTGGGCTAGCCCACCACACACGGGTAACATATACGGATTTGGGTTGTTCAACTTCCACGCATAATCCGACCCAAACCCGTCCGAGTCGGGTTGGTGCGAATCGAATTTATTTGTTGTCCCCAGTAAACTGTAGACAAACACTAAACGCGCCTGCTGTCCGTGGAGACCATTCGTCGTTGTCTCCTTCTCCCACAATGGATTCCTTTTCCGCTCCAGACTCCACCTGAGTTGCCATCGTCGATCCGATCATCTTGCCATGTCAGCAGGGTGTGGGACCCACATCCGCCGTCCCGCGTTCGCCTGAAACATTCTCCGCCACCAAACAATGGCGAGCAACTCCAAGGAAGAGCCCAAGACCGGCCCCCAGCCCAATCGCTGGTACAACCTAACCCTCGGCCCCTCCTTCAAAGACGACTCCGCCAACAAGTACTGCACTCTCCGATGTAAGTATTTATCCCGTCCTATCATATCCAATCCTATACTGTTTGGTTGGAGAGAAAATCCACGTCTTTTTTAATTCCTTTCGATTCTTTTGATTTTTGGCCCGCAGACGAATTCAAACCGGCGTCAATCGACAAGACGAAGCCCGGGGCGCTGAAGAAGACCAAGGACAATAGGGTTGCGGTCGAATTTCAGAACAACCAATTGGGGAAACCCAATGTCACGTTCAAGGGGAGCAGCGAGGAGTACAAGGACAACGACGCCGTTTTGTTCTTTGACGGCCAGACGTTTCGGTTGGATCGGCTTCACCGCGCCGTGAAGCAGCTTCGGCATGACCGTCAGCCTGGGGAATCGGCGGCTGGTATGGCCGTGGACCCGCAGCTGTCCCCAGTAGGCAAGGCGCCCAAGCTATCGCATCAGTATCATCCTGGTAGAACTGCATTCCCTGCCGTGCCGGTGAGTTATTGGTTATTGGAAATTATGATTCAAGATTGAATCTTTTGTTTTGGTTAATGGAAAAGCAGCTGAAATTTGCAATCTTTTGATTCGTTTTCTGTTTTCATCAGGTTGAGGTGGAACGGATAGATGTTGGCGTGCCTGAAAATCCAGGTTTGTCTTCATGCTACTTTTTTCTTTTCTTTTTTGTTTTCAAAATAAGCGTATTCATCGAATTTATAGCTTCTCAAAGAATGCTTTTCGATCTCTTGAGATTATTGAAATTAAACTTCATAATTCCATGATTAAAGTTGAGTAGACATTGCTTGTTCTTTAGTAGCATTTCACTAAATGAAGCTCTGTATGCAATTTAGAACAGTACGGGCCGTGCGTTCTCTGATAATGTTTACTTGTTCTGAGTTTGATTGTGATTGCGATTTGGTATTGCAATGAATAAGTACTGACAAAGTCAAATTCAAAACCTTTTCGTATAATGATATTTGTGTTGGAATTAATCTCGATGCATTTACTTATTTCCTGGTGAAGAGGAGGAGTGTCGTCCGAACTTAACTTCTTGTCATTTTTTTCTCCTTAGTAAAGATCGGTTGTTTTGTGTTATAGACTGGGGTGCTTAATTTCTCCAAGTGGCAATACACTTTTGATGCACAATTTTGATGTTATACTTAGAGATCCACAGTTCAATACCTTTGACTATGTGTTCCAGATAACCAAGCCCAATTTAGATTCACTTGGGGCAGCTCAAAGGGTCCTCTCAATCTCGCCCAACGGTTATCTTACATGTTAATTTTATATGATTACTATGTTTGTATTGCAATAGTTTACCAACTTAAATGTTACTATGTCAACCCCATTTAAATTTTGAAAACTTTGGAGAGGTGTTCATGGGCTGAGCTTTATCCATTTATTTAGTTCTTAAATCAAGAATGACTTTACAAAAATTAAGCAGTTAGTTTTTCCTGGACTCTAAGAAACTTCTTTTTGTTTTTTAGCTGAATTAATCGGGGGGAAGCAATTGGGTAGCTAGATTCGTGGTCATATGATGACTGATCAGTCACCAATTGTCTGTCATACTACTTTGGTATGCTTATGTATGTGCTAACATGACCTTCATCTCGCCTTTTAGAAGTCTACTGAAAACATTAAAGTAGAAAGTTTCTATCTTGCAGATTTCATTATTTCTCTATGCAGCGTCTTGTCCCAAAACTAATGAAGCAGCTGCTGTTTTAACTATTTTGTTTGCACGGTTATCATATATCCTTATGTTTATTCATAATCGACAGGTGCGAAAACTGCCAATAAAGGTGTGGTTGATTACTCATCTGATCGACCAAACGTATCTGCTGCTTCGCCAGGCCCAAAGAATGAAGAAGTTGACGACGAACACCAGGATATAGACATTGAAGACCTTTTTGGTAGTATATCACCGGATGATGGGAATGCCGCTGAAGATGAAGCCAATGCTGGATTTGATATCAATATGCTCCATCAGAATGAAAGTGACAATGAGATTGCTGATGTAGATGATAGCGGTGATGAAGTTGACAAGGGGCCAAATGCTGCAGAAGCCCTTCGAGCCCAGGTGATGAATACCCAGGGAAGGGAAACACACACTGATATTTTTGGTGACGAGGGGAATGCAGAAGGAAGGAAAACCGAGACTTCTAGTTCAAGTAGCAGCAGTGGAAGTAGCAGCGGAAGTGAGAGCAGCAGTAGCGGAAGTAGTAGTGGGAGCAGCAGCAGCAGTGGCAGCGGAAATGGTGGTGGTAATAATGCAGGCAGCGATGACGATTCAGTCAACTCCATCTGAGACATCGGGCAACTATAATCTTTCGGGCAAGTTTGTCGAAGGCAGTAAACAGTCCCAAAGATGTTTACGCAGGTAACCAGAGCTCGAAGAAAACAGAAGATAATACGTAATGTTATTTACACATGCTATTATTTTGTGAGAACGTGATAATGATGCCGCATAAGTTTTGTCATAAGCCACACCTTTGTATGGGTTCAACATTTCATTTGAAAATTTTGACAATAAAAGAACGTGCAAATATTGATTCATAAAAAGCAAGAGCTTGGAGCTTTTATACTTCGATTACATTCGATCTCATGTTCCTTTGTGACGCTTTTATCGGGTTTATGAGCTATCCTAGTCAAGTAGACCTACGAAAGTTTGTTTCGCTATTTTGCTTGACGCATGACACAACATCGGCATCTTATTAAACTTTATTAACATTATAGGTCTTGTTTTAAAATTGAAAAGCTAACTTGCTAGTGTTATTATTTTGGAGAGATTTTTTTAGCGTGTCGACAAACGGAAAATATTTTCTTTCCTGTATCATAATATTTTATCGTCAATGGCTCTTAATTGCTCGCGACATTCCCTAATCCATAAATAATTATAGTTAGTCCTTAAAAAGGGCAATTATGCTTTGGTCATAAAACCCACCAATCTTGAACCTGCCATTACTTGAAAAACCTGAGAGATTTTTTAGTGTGATTGGTACATAAAGTGGTATATCATGTGTTATTGTACTTATAGTGGGATATGTATGTTAAAAAGTTAATAATTTAAAAAATAAAATTTCTCACCTCTTATATAAAAAAACACGTGATGTACTACTCGTATTCCGATCACACTAAAAAATTTCTCAAAAAACCCAAATCGCATCGCTTAATACAGGTCACCAAATTTGAAGATCTCTATTTCCCACCCACCAAATTTGGAGATCTCTATTTCCACCCACCAAATTTGCTATTTTATTCAGCTTCAGCTTTCGCGGTGGAATTAGCAAATCCCGCGAGTGAAATTACCAAAAGCGAGCGGTGGATGCAAACGCTTGTCGTACTGTACAAATTTGTAGTACCCAGGAGGAAAAAGGAACGTGTGGTCACGCGCACTTTGACGAGCGTCGGATGTTTTTCACTTCCAATGTTTTTTTATTTTTGGCCACCTGAGAAATTAAATTTAAAATAAAAGACAGAGAGAGACCAAATCAAACAAATAAAAAGCTCCAGAGGGAAAAAATCGATCAACTCTTTCTTCTTCTTCGTCGCAACAAAATCCCGACCTGGAAACCCTAACCCTCGCTCTGTTAGCCAGAGAGAGAGCAATTTTTTTAGAGAGAGAAAGTGTGCGTTAGAGAGAGAGATGAAATTTCACGGTAGTTGATCCAACACATAACGAATGGTTGAAAACAGTTACTTCTTCCGCAGCTCAATCTTTAAAGACCCAATCTTCAAACAGTTTCTCCACCGCCAACAACCAGCTGAGCCGCCATCGAAACCGACCCACTATGGGAGCTGAGAAGAAATGGCTCCTTACGCTCTTCTCAGCCACATTCCTCTCCCTCCTCCTCCTCCTCCTCTCCTCCATCTCCGCCTTCAGCTCACCCAAACCCTTCCCTTCAATTGTCCAGCACGGCTCTAGCTACCCGCCCGCTTTCGCTTACTACATATGGGGCGGCCGAGGCGATAGGGCTCGGATCTTCCGCCTGCTGCTCGCCGTCTACCATCCCCGGAATCGATATTTGTTGCATCTTTCGGCTGACGAATCTGAAGACGAGCGCCGCCGTCTTGCCGCCGCTATCAACGCTGTGCCGGCAATTCAGGCATTTGGGAATGTGGATGTGGTGGGCAAGCCTGATCGAATCACTTACATGGGGTCTTCCAATATTGCCACCACTTTGCACGCGGCGGCGATTTTTCTTAAGGTTGATAGTGGGTGGGATTGGTTCGTCACTTTGAGCGCCATGGATTATCCACTTATCACTCAGGACGGTATGCCAATTTTAAAGATTGGATTTTGTTGGGAAATTCAATTTATTATTGAATATTTGTTTAAATTGACTGAAGGAATCTGGCTCTTGGGTTGGGGAAAGTGATTATCTGGGGAAGTACTTATATGTAGGCTAAATTATACGAAAAGTTTCCACTTTTGTTAGAGCCATTTATATATAGGAGGAGGCTGGCATTGCCCAGTTTGGGGAAAGTGTTTGATGTTTGTATTTCCACTAAAGTGTCAATTTCACTTGGGTCAATATGGGGAATTTAGCTTGTGGCATTAGTATTTTCTGGCCCCTTATTAGATTCCTTGTTAGTACATATGACAACGTACAGCAGTGACAATGCGAGTGGTGCGCCTCTTTGACAATTCTGTGAAGCTTGTTTGTCTAAGGAGGCGATGCTTCACTTCATTGCTGGGTGCCATGACCTATTTCCCTCTTGTTCGTTGCGCTTGTTCCGTGCCAAGGCTTATTTGAAGATTTCATGGCCCAATTTGTTCTTGTTACTGTTGTTATTGTTATAGCTTTCATTGTGCTGTTTTTAACTTTTTATTGATAAATCACAAATCAGACCAACTTATTCAGTTCTGCTTCTGTTTTGTACTTTCAGACCTGTCGCATGTTTTCTCCTCTGTTAGAAGAGATCTCAATTTCATTGATCACACCAGCGACCTTGGATGGAAAGAGTAGGCAATCCCTTTAGCTAAGTTTTGCTTTAGTTTTCTGAGGAACATGTTTCTGGTTGGACCTGAACCCGTGTTTTTAAATTTTTGATATAGGTTGCACAGGGTCCAGCCAATTGTAGTTGATCCGGGGATATACCTAGCTCGAAGGAGCCAAATTTTTCATGCTACAGAGAAGCGGAAGACCCCTGATGCTTTTAAAGTATTCACAGGCATAGTCTAACACACTTTTATGTAAGATTTGCCCATATGGATACGCTGTCCACGCGTTGAACTGCTAATTAGAAACTATTCGTTCGTGATTTGCAGGCTCCCCATGGGTCATCCTGAGCAGATCATTTCTGGAGTTTTGCATTAATGGTTGGGATAACCTTCCCCGGACCCTGCTTATGTACTTTACAAATGTGATGTTGTCCCAGGAAGGATATTTCCATTCAGTTATATGCAATTCACCAGAGTTCAAGAACACTACTGTGAACAGTGATCTAAGATACGTGATCTGGGACACTCCCCCGAAAATGGAACCCCTTTTTCTCAACACCTTGGATTTTGATCAAATGGCTCAAAGTGGAGCTGCTTTTGCCCGACAATTCAAGAAAGATGACCGTGTGCTGGACATGGTTGATAAAAAGATCCTCAAGCGTGGGAGAAATCGAGCTGCCCCGGGGGCATGGTGCTCAGGCTGGAGAAGTTGGTGGATGGATCCTTGCACTCAATGGAGTGATGCCAATATCTTGAAGCCTGGGCCCCAAGCAAAGAAGCTCGAAGACTCGATTACTAACCTTCTCGATGACTGGAATGCGCAAACAAATCAATGCCAATGAAGATGTCTGTATGGAAAATGTCTCCAGATACCCGGTGTGGTTTTCCTGCAAGCTAAACTCGATGATTAGTTTGGAAGACTGGCAACCGCGAGGATACATTTTTTGACCCCTAAGAACACACTTCTTTTTCTAGGTTCTTCCGGTCTCATGCTTGACTATTGTTTATAAAGGGGCGCGGAGGCAGGGTAGAAGGGAGAAACATAGCGAGTTAGGTTGAGGTATTGAGCTGTACCTGTTATCGACAGTATGGCCACTTACAGACTTGAGTAACAGAGCTCATAAGAGGCTCTCCCTCTCTTTGTGCTGCCATTCCATGATGTTGTATGTTCTGCTTCGGACTCGGGTTATGTTCGGACCTCTTTGAATGTTGGATCAAAAATTCACTCTTTCAACTCTAATAGGTTGGATCTTCTAAATTCACCGTGAATCTCTTCACCTCTGATTTTGTTGCCAATTTTTTCAACTCTCTGCATTTTTTATTGGGTGGTGCTTTCCATGCGTTCATTTTTACCTCTCACACTTCCTTCTTAATTTTCGACCGTCGGATCGAATGTATTGAGAAGATCAACCGACAAAATTTAGTAAGGATGTTTGAGAGGTAAAAAGGAGTGTGTGAATAACGCTACTCCTTTGATTAACGGTGTAACTGGTGAATTGTCCTGTTAATAGGTTTTCTTCTTCAATCTCGTGACTCGTGTTTAAACCTTCCACCCTTCTATTTATTATATTAATATCACTTGTAACCAAAATATTTATAAACTCGACAAATATCATAGTCTGAATCGTTCATTTTATTTGTGATAATAAAATGAACGGTTGGGATTAATCAGAATAAGAATTTAGTCATGCCGCCAAAAATAAACACCCGACAAAATATAGCCATTTAACCAAAGCTTCTCAGTTCTCACGAAGCTCTCAAATGGGTCTCTCTCGAATTTTCCCTCTTGTGTCGAAACTATCCAAAAACTTCATTCGCAATCGAACACTCCCTACCGAAAATCCATCCGGGTTCCTCTGCAACCGCACTGCTAGTTTTCACAGAGCAATCCACGACGGTCTGGAAAAACCCCAAGTGCTCCATGACGCCGGTGACAAGACCCCACTTCTCAAAAACCCCAAAGTCTCAGAAGATGCTGAGAAAATCTGTAAAATTCTATCCACCAGCAGCTCTAATTCCCCAATCGAGAGCTTCCTCGACGGCGCTTCGGTCGAGGCGTCGCCGACGCTTGTGGTGGAGGTCTTGAAGAAGCTCAGCAACGCCGGCGTCCTCGCCCTCTCGTTTTTCCGGTGGGCGGAGAAGCAGAAAGGGTTTAAGCACACCACGGAGAGCTACAATGCGTTGATCGAAGCTCTGGGTAAGATCAAGCAGTTCAAGATGATGTGGGAATTGGTGAATGAAATGAAGATCAAAGGGATGCTGAGTAAAGAGACTTTCGCGCTGATTTCACGGCGATATGCGAGGGTGAAGAAGGTTAAGGAAGCCATTGATGCGTTCGAGAAGATGGCGAAGTTTGGAATGAAGGTGGAAGGGTCAGATTTCAATAGATTGATTGATACTCTGAGCAAGTCGAGGCAGGTTGAGAGAGCACAGGAGGTGTTTGATAAAATGAAGAAGAGAAGGTTTGAACCCGATATCAAGTCGTACACGATTTTATTGGAAGGATGGGGCCAAGAACAGAACTTTTTGAGGTTGAATGAGGTTTATCGAGAGATGAAGGACGAGGGTTTTGATGCGGATGTTGTGACATATGCTATTCTGATCAATGCACATTGTAAAGCGAAGAAGTACGATGAAGCGATTGACTTGTTTCGCGAGATGGAGGCAAAGAATATCAAGGCTACTCCTCATATATTCTGCATTTTGATTAATGGGTTGGGTTCTGAAAAGAGGCTGAGTGAAGCCCTTGAGTTTTTTGAACTGAACAAAGCCAGTGGTTTCAAACCGGAGGCACCCACGTACAATGCTCTTGTGGGGTCTTACTGCTGGTCGATGCGGATGCAGGATGCGTTTAGGGTGGTGGATGAGATGAGGAAATGTGGAATCGGTCCCAATGCCCGAACTTACGACATAATCTTGCATCACTTGGTAAAGGCTCGAAGAACCGAACAAGCTTACTCCATTTTCCAGCAAATGAGTAGGGATCCTGGCTGTGAGCCAACAGTAAGTACGTATGAAATCATGGTGAGGATGTTTTGTAACGAGGAGCGCATGGATATGGCATTGCAGGTTTGGGATCAGATGAAGACCAGAGGAGTCCTGCCGGGAATGCACATGTTCGCCACATTGATTAACAGCTTGTGTCATGGGAATAAGTTAGATGACGCTTGCAAGTACTTTCAAGAGATGCTGGATGCCGGTATTCGACCTCCAGCGCAGTTGTTTAGTAATTTGAAACAATCGCTTCTCGACGGGGGAAGAAAGGATGTTGTGATAAGTTTGGGTCTGAAGATTGACAGACTGAGGAAAACTCCGTTAGTTGGGTTGCGCTAAAGAGTAATATCCAAGTGCCATTCTACATGTAGTGATGTATTAGAGTTTTGGAGCTTATTTTTGTTTATCCAGTGTTCAAATTGTAGTACTATTGTTTGACAACGTTGCATATTACTTGGAGGAAATCAGAAAACGAAAGTTGCACAGATCAACGTTCGAAAACTACATCGAAAATCTTTTCAGGAAACACATTTACAGAATTCTCAAACATGAACCGGAATGGATTTTACTGAACTGACAGATTTACAATTGCATTCATATGCTCATCATATGTTCCTAAATTTACATCACCATGGTGAAAAAAAAAAGATGCCGAATCTAGAAATCCGAAAACGCCACGAACCCTAACTCCGCCAATTGAAGAGCAGAAAGAGCTAGCATTAACAGAAACCGAGGCATTCAATTGAGATAACCAGAATCAAAGGAAACCCTAGCAAGATTGTTTATGGATGCCTGTAAGTAAAAAAATGGCTGTGACCAATCGTATTCTCATTCGCAGGGGAGCTGTTACCAAATTCAGGTGAAGCCACAGTCACTTGTTCCGGTCGATCTGTTTCCTCAGTTCTCTCTGGCACCTCAAGAACTTCACTTATTCCGTGCACCATAAGCCACCCATTGTGGTAAACTTCCGGCAAGATAACCGACACGCCGTTGAGCTTCAAGACGTCATCGGAGCGGGTGATATTCATCGAAAACCCCACCAGATTAGTCCTCAGAACCGTCCCATCATTCAAGCTGTCCAAATCACTCCAAGAAAGCCGGCAGGGCACCACGTGGCGGTGGAAGATGGAGGAGTACTCGGTCAGGTTCCCGACCCGGTTCATCAGAACTTGGTCAAACGGAGCAAACACAGTCAGCATCGTCTGGAACTTGAAGAAAGAACCATGAAACTGCAGTTCAAGAAACGACGCCATGACAGAGCACCCTTTGGATCTCAGGGTGGCGGAGGCGTCGTTGAAGGGGACGTAGCCGTCTCTGAGATCCATCGTCTGATCTGGGTTTTCCTTGGGGGCCAAGCAACCGAGATTCTTGGGGGTGTAGCTCTGAATCGGACCGGAAATCTGAAAATACGGATCCAAGAACCTGTCAATTCCGAAAATTATCAGGGACCCATCATCGAAAATTGGGGAAGCAGTGACGGTGACGTTGTTGAGCGAGAAGCGGTGATCGGACGGCAGAGTGGTGACGGTGAGAGTGCGGTCGGAGAGTAAAGTTGCTATCTTGGCGCCAAAAGGGAGGGACTTTAGCGATCGGAGAGAGAAATGGAGGGGTAGGAGGTGGTATTGGAGGAGGATCAGCGGCGGCTGGCCTGAAAGAGAGAAGGAGGCGTCGTTGGGGGCAAAGATGGTGAGGGAAGGAGAGCGGGAACTGAGGAGGGTGCGGGAGGCGAGGTCGAGCGTCAGGGACATGGAGGTGTAGCCAGAATCTGAGAGGATTTCGGCGGCGTTGATGAGGGTTTGGGTGTGGAGGGCGGAGGAGAGAGAGAAGAATGAGAGGGCGAGGAGGAGGAAAGAGAGGAGGACCTTGGAGGCGGTCATTGACGGAGGTCTCTTCGTTTCTTGGAGTTGGAGAGGATTGGTTTGCAAATGAGTAGCGGTTTGGTTGCAGAGTCGGAGACTCGGAGCGTGAATTTGTATGGGGACGTTGTTTTTTGGCGGGTTAAGTTGGGACACGTGGAGGTATGGGATTTGTCGAGGTTGGGGGGAAGCGAAAAGTTAGTTACGGGCGTTTAGGGAGTTTTATTGTGCGGATTAATTGATAAGTAATGAGCCGAGACCATGATGGTTTTGTTTGGATAGAGCTTAATGGGCCAAGTCCAATGATAGCCGAGTTGCCCGAATTTGAGAGATTTTTAGAGAATTGTAGAGTTTCTTTTTCTTCCTTTAGTGACTAGGGCAGTTCTCCACGTTGGTCAAGATTACTGTAAGGTTCCTTTTTTAACCACGAACTGGTGGTCCAGTGGTAAATGAGAGATTACGAGACTTTTGCAAACTAAAAAATGGAGGTCTTGAGTTCAAAACCCATTGCAGGGGTGAATAACCGTTGTTTGCCACCAGTTATCATCCTTTTTAAAAAAAGAAAAAAGATTACTGTAAGGTTTGTTGGGATCAAAATATAGACAATCTCGTATTCTAAAAGAGTTTCTTAATAAATACGTGAAGTTCAGTGAAATCAAAATACAAATATATCTTCCTCGATCAGTAATTATGCATGGAATTGCTTTGAACCCACTTCAGCATTTCACTTACATATTTAATGGTTTGACATACTTAAATTTACTTAATGGGCTGTTTAGCTTGTTTAATTAGATGGTCGCACAAGCAACAAATTATTATATTTTACTATTATTGACTCCCCTACGTAGGGTTTCTTGTACCGACCTCTCACATACTATATATCCATCATGCAGTTTTTTTCCTTACATATAGATTTTTGAAATTAGCTTGAAGTGTGTCTCAAGGTTAGTAATCCAATCGTTCTCAGAATATGACATATCGATATTGTCGTCATTTTTTAACATAAATGACCATTAGGAAATGGGGAATCGAATTTGGAACTTATAGCGCAAGGGTGGATGTTGTTACTGATTGAGTAATAAAATAAAGCTCTTGCGATAATGTCGTCATTAGCGTGTGTATGTTACATGCATAATATAATTACTGACTAATTCAACATTCTTAGGTTATATTATATCCAGCACCATACAAATAATTCTGTTTTTTTTTTCAATAAAAAAAAGGAAAATTACAAAGAGAAGCTCCCAGGGCAAACAACAGTTAAACAGTCTAACTGCCACGGCATCTGAGCATCAGTGTGAAGAGACTAATCCAACATCGCACATTTGAAGAGCTATGACCAATCGACAATAACACATCAGCAACGGAGTTTGCCTTCCTAAAAATATGACAAAAAGAGATGTTCTGAAAACTGCAAGCCACAGCAAAACAAAGAGGAGCCAAGATCATCTCCAAGTGAAGGGGCTAATTTAGTCCCTGTCCAGATTATAACCATGCAAAATAATAATAATAATAATAATGAATAGTGCCATGCTATATCTATATACAATCTCCAACCGAATGAGCTATTTTTTAGCCTTCGCAATAATTTATTATTTTAAGTTTGTTCTCTAATTTTATTGGTTAATCGAATTAAACTACCGTATTAAAATAAGGTTTACAGACATATTTTGAGGGTCACTTGTCCCTAAATATTGTTTTAAGTTTCATGTTATTAAATATTAATTTTACTTGCTTGTTAACAACTTAGACATTAAAATGAGGTAAGATATTATGGAATGGTGAAAAAGATGTAAGAAATTGTGTAGATATGACTTAGGTATTTATAGGAAAAAATTAGAATTTTTAAATTTCGTCTTAAAAGAAAAAAACAAAACAAAACAAAAAGGCTACACGATGTCAACTAGCAGCACAGCTGGGCCCAACTTTCAAGGCTAGCTGGCTAGCTGGCGATTTGGCTATATTTTGGCCTGGTGAGTCCCAAATTCTTTTGGCCTAGCCCTCTATTAAAGATGGGTTTTGTGTCAAAACGGGTTATGTTTTGGCTTATAACTCTTTGGCTGGCTTGGTTAGAGATGGCTGAAGTCTTCGAGTTGAGCAGCTACAACATCAAGATCTTCAAGCCAATTTAATAATATTTCTGGTTCTTCATCTTCAACCTCATCTGATTAAGATTTAATATCAGGCATATATGGTTGTGTGCAGTGGCGGATCCAGGAATCTTACCCAAGGGGTCGCAGTGTAAAAGTTCAAATAAAAATTTAGGATGGAAAAACATATTGAAAATGAAATCATAGTACTTTCATTCATAATTCATAATGGAAACAATATTACAAACTATTGTCCTTCAGAGCAGCCTTGTCATTCACCTCATGTGCCGTCTGCTTCATGCCACTCGGTTATTGTCTATCCAGTGTCCATCCATTTCTAATCAATTTATCTCTACACATTTCTTCGTCACTATGTTGGAGTTCATATTGAAAACACTTAACACAGTACAAATGTAAAATCCTCAAACGCTATCCCATGAAAAAAAAAAAAAAAAAAAAAAACCAGTTCCTGGACAACATTTAAAAATTGATCCAAAATAAAGCAGAAAATTTCACATTCCATCACAAATTATGTAGGAAATAATTTAAAAAACAATAGTGACTAACCAGAAGCAGTGTCATAAGTAGCATCAAAAGCCTTCTTAGAACTATCCTTCAAAAATTTCTCATCATCCTGCTTCAAAAAATTCTCATTATCCTGCTTCAGCCCAAGTCCTCCGGTGATTTTCTCTTTAGCCCACTCCGTCCACGACTCCGACCCTTCTTTACCCTCTCTCGCCTTCTCCGCCGCCCTCGCGTCATCCGTCTACCTTGACTGGTCCTTAAACTTCACAAACTCATCAAGAACTTCCTCGTTCGCAGACGGCGTATGCCCCACGCTGGAGCCGCGGCATACCGTGGCAAGCATCACCACCACCGCCACCGCAATGACAAGGAGTAGTTTGTAAGATTGCTTTGCACCCATGACCGTATAAACGTTTTCTGAAGATTCAAATCTGAAATGTATTTTCTGAAAAACTGAAGGTTTTGAGACGTTTTCTGAAAGGATCAGGAAGCAATGTGTGAAAGTTTAGGGTTGGGGAGGACTCCTGCCGAGTTTTGAAAAAAAAGAAGCGCGCGAGCGCTGCTTCTTCTTCCTCTTCCTGACGACCCCGATGACCCCAGCTCCAAGAGGTTCCATATGGGAGCTTCAAGGTTGTTTCCATGGTTTCCAAGGGATCGTGCGACCCCGACGACCCCACTGTGGATCCGTCCCTGGTTGTGTGTGTCCTAAGTACGACTAGTCCTATAATCTTGCTATCATTCACAGTATATTTATTAATATATACACGCGCGCATATATATCTAAACAGAACAAAAAATCAGTTGGAGATTGATGTGATGAGCATGTTATAATACTATGGGAAGGGAGTTTGTCACGTTGATCATGTGATGATCTCACCGTATCAGATGAAAACGAGTGCTCATCAAGTTTTAGTTTCTTGTATGACAAGATCAAACGTTTTTTACAAAATATAAATATATACTATAACTTGTAACGTCGTCTGTGCCTTACATAATGACAGTAGCAGGCTAGGGATCGATGCGCGTACACGGACATTTACCAAAACTCCAACTAACCCGATCACCTCAGTTGTTCAATCATGCATCATCACTTCCAGTTTGAATAATCCGTTGTTTTCCAGAGAATTTCCAAGATCTGGTCCCATGTTTTAATTTAATTCAAAATTAATTTTTTGAAGAGATTCCAAAAGTTGTTCAAGGGACTCACATTGAAGCCAAGTCATTAAGGCTAGATTTTGTTGTGACGCGGTGGATGCTTCAAAAGTCGAACACCAAGAAAACTTGCTCAAATTAATGATCCTTTTGCACTCAAGTAATAATTTTGGTCAATCTACACCACGTAGTAGTAGTAGTAGTAGTAGTAGGAGTTTGTTGTGGGCGTTTAGCTATAGCTTAATATGACTTTGTCTCTTCATAATATAGCTACACGGTTTAAAACAGCCTACATGCACCTGAGATCTTGATTTCGAATTCCCTTTCTCTCACGCTTGTGTACCTAAAAAGGTTGAGAAATGAGAAGTTACATGCAAAGTCAAGATCAAATGGAAGAAAGAATCAAAATTCTTGGGATACCACCTACATAATAATTGAACAGCTATCTTTTTTCTTCTGCCGTACTCCCAAAATTACTCGTTTTCATGCTTGTGTACAATTATAATATTTATACCTTTTGTTCTTCCTAAATTGTTATACAACAAGTAATGGAATAAAAGACAAACCGATCATGAAAATAAGTACACGAATATTTCCTCAATAATGCATGTAAATTTGGAAATTTAAAAGAAGCCCGTGCTAGGTAGGGTTTCCATTGATGTTGAGTTGGCTCATGCCAATCACTCGACTGCATAATTTCAAAAAATTACATGCATATATACGTACATGAACTATAGAGCTGGAAGTAAACCTGTAAAATAACGGGTGATTAAAGGATATTATGCATATATATTTTAATAAGTGATTGGGTTGGGTTATTGGATTGGGTCCTAAATGCGAGAGATTTTTCATTATGACTGGAACACGGATAGTAGATCACGTGTTTATATATAAGTGGTGATAAATTTTACTTTTTAAGTTATTAATTTTTTATCACACATATCCCATAATTTGTATAGAGACACGTGATGTACCTCCGATGTATCGGTTACATTGAAAAATCTCTTCCTAAATGCTAGGTCTAGCTGGAAGTCCGCAAACCATGAAACTTTCCCCGATTGGATGTGATATAAGCCTAGGTTTGGCTAGTTAGGCCGAGACATATTTTCTGGCGATATCTCACCAAAACTCTTAATAATTGGACCCGTACGTCCCATAAATCCCATTGTTTTGCTCTGCTCGGTCTCAAGAGCCATACAAATTTTCGATTTTTGCATGACGTTTATTATTAAATGTTCGGCGAGTGATGTGGTC